TTCCGTCATTTATTGCTAATTTCGATCCAAAAATATAAAATGTTAAACTATTATCTGTTCACTTAAACGAGCTGAAATCGAACTCGAGCCTATTAATAAAACGAGCCGAGTTGAATCGAGCTTGTTCGCAAATAATTTATTTTTAATGTGTTTCAAATGAAATAGTCGAGTCAAACTTGTTTGTAAACAGACATTTCATGCTCGAATCAAGTTTAAATGAACTGAGCTCGTTCGAAGCCTTTGACTTATTTAGTGAAACACGCCACAACTTAATCCGGAGTTAGTCGACTAATACCACTAACTGCCGTACTATTTCAATGTATTTATATATTTACATAGTCAAAATTTGTACTTTGAAATACAATATAAATATTACTTTATATTTTAATATTATATTTTAAAATTTAAGATAATAAAAGTATAACATTTTATATTTTTTTTTTGATAAGTATGATTGTCTAACAATTTGAGAGTCATTTTTAAAAAATGGAGTATTAGTCAGTAACCAAGTAATACGATGTTCAATAAACTTAGCTGATAAACTAGTTTATAACTTTTAAGTAAATTTTGAGCTTATATCTAATAACTTATAATTTATGGCTGAAAGCTAACTAATATGATAAAAATGTTTAGTAAACTTAGCTGATAAGTTAATAGAAATAAAAACTTCAATAGATTTATTTGAAAAGTTACCCAAAAAAAGTTTATGAAATAAGTTCAAATTTTATAAAAGTCTCCTACCAAACCAAACTTATTTCAATACAAATTCCTTATAAACTAATCAAAGAAGTAATAAGCTTGGTTATACCCTTATTAAACACAAATGTTGCACATGAAAATAATATTTAATCATTAATAACTGTGAACTATAAAACATATAATTAAAAATATTCCCATCATATCATGAAATATGAATTCATGACGATAAATGTGTTACTGCATAATTTGGGTGACAATAAGAAATAAACATAAGTAAATGACATGTGATTTTTTCGCATGACCCGTCATATTCGTTAACGCGTCGACTCGTCATATTTTATTTACACATTTATTTTATAAAACGTTCTACTTATGAGTATTATCTTTTTTTAGAATAATTTATTGAAAATATACGGGTGTCTAATTGACTGTCTAATAATAATTTTTATTTTTAATTCTTTAATAAAAGAGTCTAATAGGGATGGCCCTATGATGCAAATCAAATGACAAACACGAGAGCTACTGAAGCTCTCTACTTGTACTCTTAAACAGAATATTTTTGCTTATTGGGCTTAGTCCAGTATTTATATTTAAAGCCCAACTTGGCATTTTGGTGGATCTCCGTTGGGCTTTAATTGGGTTCATATAATAAGTATATTCTGGGTTGCTTGGCTCTTCAGCTGATGAGCAATGAAGAATGATCTCAATGACCTATTCTGTGCAAATGGACTCCGTTCGAAAAAAACCTTCAATGTTGGGCCAGTTTTGATCTAATTGTAAGAATCAAATCCGTTCAAGAGCGCATTTCAGCTCGGCTCGTTTATTTACTTAATCGAGCCGAGCTCGAACATAATTTATATTTTATACAAGTTGAGTCGAACTCGTTCGTTGACTGCTTCTTTGTTTTCATATAAATTTCGAACGAACAACCGAGCTCGAACATAATCTATTTACGTTTCATTAATCGAGTTCGAAGTTCGAACCATGCTTAAACATATATTTATCTACTCAATTCGAAGTCTTTGATTTTGGTGCATCGGTAATATAATACTAAAGATTTTTTTTAAAAAAGAAGAAAGAGTTGGAATTCTTATCAACGTTAATTATGTTAATCGCTGTGACCGAAAATAAAATACAATGGATATAACATGCGTTTACATGAATTAATAATTAAATAAGAATATTGAAATAGGATAAAATATAAACAAGTAATATTATTATATTTTTTAAAATATATATTGTTAGTTATGTAAAATGTATTCTTGTATTATAGGCTAGGTTAAACTCAACTTAGGCTTAGGCCCACCCATCTATGTATCTATATATATGTATATGTCTTTGTAAATAATATATTAGGTATTTTTTCCATATTTTTACATATATTAATTGAGATGCCATACGTAAAAGAAACGAGCAACTTGTAAGTTCGACTCAATTCGTTTTATACATGAGTTAACAAGTTGAGATCAATCGACTCAGCTTGTTTACACCCCTAATCATGCTGTAAAAAAACCGTAATAAGAAGTATGATATATTATAGATAAAATATACACTTTTGCTGTTTAAGTTGTCTCAATTATTGAGATAGCCTGATTATAAAAGTATTTAAATAATATAATATGATATATGTGAAGTCTTTTTCCTGTGCTTATCAGTTGCTATTTTCGAAAATAAGCTTAAATTAATTTTTTTCTTAATATAATTTATATAGTTTTTATTACGTCCATTTATTTTTCTTTAGAATAAAAAAAATTAATGACTTGCCAAAAAGAAATAATAATAATAATAATAGTAGTAATAAATAAACAAAGAAACAGAGACATTTTGTGGTAATCGTCTCGTAACTTGGATCATCATCACAGGTAACATGGAGTGTCTGAAGACAATAATAAAAGCGTTTTTTTTTTTTTT